GGTTTTGGGGTTTTTTTAGTGACCATAACTATAAAAACAATCATAAAAAGGTGGGAGGGAAAGAATAGGAATTATCATTAGCACTGGAAGTTTGAAAAATAATTTATGCCAATATAGGTTAAAAAAAATTCCATTATTTTGAAAAGCTTAAAGAACCCAAGAATTTATTAGGAGAAGAGAGTTTGGAAAACGGTATTGTTCAGATTATCCACTTTGCTATAGAAGTAATGACAGACTTGCTCCTTAGTTACCATTGTCCCAATGCCTCTCTAGTATTTGGTTATCCTGGGTCATGGGAAGTACTGTTCTGGGTGAAACAGGTACTCTAACCACAATGAGAAAAATGACCCATTAAATCTTACTTCATGGCCGCGTAGTAGCATGGCGTTATCCTGATTTTTCAAAGAATATTCAAAGAGAATAACATCTAACTAATCTACTCATCTAGACAGACTTCGCATCCATGATAGGTGATGAACTATTTCTTGTCTGAGGACTAGTCTTGCTAAGTTTAAACACTTTGGACTCAGAGGTGGTGAATTTTTCATCAAAACAATTCTCAAAATGCATCTGCTCTCTGTTGGTAGAAGGAATACAAACACAGACAAAATTATCAATCCTTGAAGTACTGAACTGAAGAAATAGAGTATTATAATGGAAAGAACACTGGTTATAGCCAGCAGACCTGGGCTAAAATTTTGGCCTTTCTATCTACTACCAGTGTTAGTTTGGGAGAATTATTTCACTTTTCTAGGACTCAGTTGATTCATCTATAAAATAATGGAGCAAGGGGCTGGGAAGATGATCTTTTTGATATGTTCCATCACAAAGTATCATTAACTGAATCTAGACCATTCTGTACACACCTACACTAGCAGAAGACAATAATAATAATTTTAATAATAATAATACATTTTCATAGCACTTTAAGATTAGCAAAACACTTTACATACATCATATCATTCAAACTAACTGTTCCTAGGACACAAGGACTTTCAAAGAATTAACTACTCCCTTATAGTCCTTTCACACTCCAAATCAGCACTTGGCACTTTCAAAATTTAGTTGTTTCTACAACCTTACAGCACGTTACAATGCTTCTTACCAAAGGCGGTAGGTGAATCTGTCTTTTCTACCATACCCTTAAATCATCTATCAGCCCACTCACACATTTACTTCATTCAAGGTAACACCATGCCACATATTTCAAATCTATATAGATCTAAATGGAAGTCAGTTCAGTCAATGTGGAATTGATAGCATTATCCAAGTCTTCTGGTTGAATTGTTCTCATGAATTGGATACATACAATAATTTGAACAATGAATATAATACATACAAGAATATACAATAAATACAAGAATGCATCTAAGGAGCCAGAGGTTTGTGTGTCTACAATCAAAAACTAACTGAGTGGTTGTACCTCAATCTTAAGCATACCACTGGAAAAAGACCAAAGATTTCTGGCTCTATTATTTAGTATAACTCTGGGTAAGCACCATAACTCAAAGCCTCTGTTTCTTCCTCTGTAAAATGTAGATAAGAATATTTATGCTACCTATTTCATCAGATTGGTTGTGGGGACCAAATCAGATTATGTGTAAAAGGTACTTTGTATCTGTAAAATGCTATATAATATCAGGTATTATTAATGGATCACTGGAGTGAGGGCAATACAGGAAAAAATGTTTCCATTTGTTTCCCCACATTATATATTGTATTTTTTAAGTCATGTCTTTGAAAAATTAATAATAATAATAATAATAATAATAACAACAACAACAACAATATAGCTACAAGATAAGATATATTGGTGTTTTGTACTTCTAATATTTTAAAAAATGATTAGTTGAAATAGTTTAAATGAATCATTTAAAAGCAATCCCTTAACTATGTTATCACTAAAACTAGTACACGAATGATAATCTAGGCCTCTAAGGAATGACCAGCTGACTGATCTACGTGAATTTCAAGTGGAGTGATGGGTTAAAAGGTTTGTTTTAAAATTTTAAAAAGTAGTTTGCCACTTCCCAGAGATACTGAAGAGGAAGGGAAGTTAGTGATATTGCCAAAAGATGAAGAGTTCTTCTCTATCCCATTCAAAGCAGCAGATCTATTAAACTATGAAGTAAGCCATGTCCTTTCATCAACTCTCTAGGCACTATGCCTTGGTCTTCAAAAATCAATTGATCTGAATGAAAGTTAGTTTAGACCATGTAAAATTTTTAGTATAAACCAAGTGCTACAGACTGAGTTGTTTGAAAACATTGGCAAACTGTCCTTTGCCAAATTTCTTTACTGTCTGATAATGCAACGTGCCAAAATTACATAATTTGCCTAATTTGGATGGAGAAACCATAGGCACTCAAGTTTTTGATTCAGCTTTTCACTGAATTTCAGATATGGATAAGACCTCAGGAGGCACCTAGTCCAACAAATATTTGAACAAGGATCTACTCAACAAAATGACCAAAAAGTGTTCACCCAACCTTTACTCAAAGACTTCTAGTGAAAGCAACCCTAATACTGCCCAAGGAAGTTTCTTTTCTTTTCCTTTTTTTTTGGGGGGGTGGGGTGGGGATAGCCTTAGCTGTTAGGAAGTTCTTTTTATTGAACCTAAATCTGGCTGTCTTCAATTTCCATTGAGCACCATAGTATAATAGAGAGAATACTGGACTTGGGAGATAGGGAAGGAATGTTATAAGAACTTTTACAAATGTCTCATTTGATCCTTATTACAACCCTGGAAGGTAAGGGCATTTTAGGGATGGATTTTAGTCCCATTTTAGATTTAAGGAAAACTGAGGTAGGCAGAGGCTTAGTGACTCGTGCAGAGTCACACAACTAATAAATCTCTGAGGCCATATTTGAACCCAAGTCTTCCTGATTCCAGGCGCAATGCTTTATCCACAATCCTCTTTCTTGTCACCTACCACCTGCTACCAGATTTGGTTCCGACCTTTGCTATTTACTGTGCGATCCCAGGTCTGTCACTTAATCTGAGTTTCAGCTGTCTCAATTGTAAAATGGAGGCGGAAGGGGTTAATAATACCTCGTTACTTACCTCACACGGTTATTTTAAGAAAGTGTTTAGCAAATCATAAAATCCTATCAGAAATGTGAGTTATTATTATCATCCCACTAATTGATTCTGATTCTGCTTTACAAAGCCAAGCAGACCGTCTAATCCTTTTTTCCAGTTGACAACCCTTCAGAAACCTAGACATAGCTTTCTTATGACCCCTAAGGCTTCTCATCTCTCAGCTAAACATGTCCTGTTTCTCCAACCGATCAGTGTGCAGCACAGTCCAAACTGAATATAGTATTCCAGATGCAGTCTGACAAGGTGACTATCATCTAATTATGATCTAGCTAACAATGTAAAATCTCAACAACGCTCTAAAAGATTCCCATTAGATGAAGCTTAAACTCAACATGTCCAAACAAATCCTTCCCTCTTTCAAACTTTCCTGTTGCTTTTGAAGGCCCAGCCCTCTTCCAGTCACCCAGGCTCCCGAAATTGTCATCATCCTCAGCACGTGGCTCCCACTCACTCCCCACATTCATTTGTTGCCGAGTCTTTTTGTCTCGAATTGCATAACATTTCTCACACATGTCACCTCCTTGCCTCTTCTCAACTCACACAGCTTCCATCCCGGTATGGGCCCTCATTACTTTACACCTACACTATTGTAATAGCCTTCTGATCCATCTCCCTGCCTCGGGTCCATCTCCACTTCATTTTATTCTCCAATCAGCTGGCCAAAAGCACAAGACCGACCATATCATTCCCCTACTCAGTCAACTCCAGGAGCTCCTTCCCTCTTACCTCCAGGACCAAATATAAAAACTTGTTTTTTTGGCTATTAAAGGCCTTTGCAATTTGGCTCCTTCCTACCTTGCCAATTTTCTTATACTTCATTCCTCTCCATATATTCTACAATCCAGTGACATTTACTTTTTCGGTGTTCCTAGCAGAAGATATCCCGTCTCTTTTCACTGGTTGTCTTCTATGCCTAGAATGTTCTTCCTCCTCATCAAAGCCTCCTGGTTTCTCTGACTTTCTTCAAGATTCAGCTCAAATCCCACTTTCTTCAAAAGGCCTTTAATGGTCACTTCCTGTCCTCTGCTAGTGTCTTCCCTCTGAAGTTACCTCCCATTTGTACTTAACTAGTTATTAATTTGATGACTATGCAGAATGCAGATCAAAGCATATTGTTTTCTCTCTTTTTTTTTGTTTTTGTTTTTCTTTCTCATGGTTTTTCCCTTTTGTTCTGATTCTTATTCCACAACATGACTAATGTGGAAATAGGTTGAATATGATTGTAAGTGTATACACCCACATACACACATACATACAACATATATACACACATACACACATACATACAACATATATACACACATACACACATATACATATGCATTATCTTTGTATACATAGAAAACCCCATTATGAAGTGGGAGAGGAGGGAGTTCTATGTTCTTATATACAAATTACTCATTATAATGACCCCAGTCCCTGAAAAAGATTTTCCATAAAGACTCTGAATAATTAAAACCACTATCTACAGGAACTCTACTTGCATACTAGGTTACTTTGGTGGTAGGGGAATCCACAAATAAACATGATATTGTACACACAGGAGCCATTGGTCAAATGTTTAGCTACATAAGATGGGCCTCTGTCCACTTGGATTTTCTACTTCTAGAACCAGTCAGGAAAGTAGAATACACAATGAAGTTACTTAATTCCAAAAATAACAAATCTCTTAGGCAGAATTCAAGTAGATCTCATTTATTTTGGGGAGTGGAAGGGTAGAGAGACAAACAGCACACAGAATTGTCTGTGCTCTAAGCTGGCATGCTAGCTCTAACAAATGTTTTAAAACAAAAGTAAATATATACACACATATATATATATATATATATATATATATATATATATATATATATATATATATACACGTATGTATGTGTATATATATATTGGTACTTACCGCTCAGGATTTTCTACTTCTTCGGTACCAAAGTTGAGATAAAACCTATCAGAGAAGAATTTAGTGAGTAGGAAAGAATAACAACTAATGATATTTATATAGCAATTTAAAGTCTACAAAGTAAATATAAATTCCTCTAGTAGAACTTAATCTCCTTGAGGGCAAGGACTATTTCATCTCTCTCTTTGTATTTGTCTCTGTATCCCAGCACCTCATACATCCCCTAGTGGAGGAAAGTTGCTTAATAAATGCTGGTGGAATGAAATGTATTTGAATTAGATTAAATTGAAGACAAAGCACTACCATTTAAGCCTCACTAAAAACAGAGCCATAGTTACTATGCATATAAAGACTTACTTCAAAAATGTATTTAAAGTCACCTTTTCTGTACATACTATTTTGCTCATTGCAATTCATTGTAACCAAGGGCTTGACAAGATGAAATAACCATTAACTGGGTGAATGAATGTGGCTACAAACTCTGTGTATCCGAGATGAAAATGTCTTGAATTTCTGCTTGGGAGGGTTCAATGTACTTAAAGCCTTCCATTAACCTAAGACAAAAATCATCAAACTTGTCGTACTCCATCTCAGTTAAATGTCGGGCTTGATTCTGCAACAAGCAAGCAGTATTCAAGACTCAAGGACTGAATATTTGGCAAGCTCTGCTTGGAGAAGTGACTTTGATGAAAGGACATTGAATTGGTGAGTCAAAAGTGACCATAAGAGTCAATTTAAAAAGTTAGTGCCCAAAGTGGTATTGGTTCGTTTTAATGACTAAAAAGCAGCCAGATAAGGAAAGCAAGGTGTGATGAATACTTCTATATAGGATATGTACTCTGAAGGATGTGATACAGTGGTTATAGTCCAGAGCAACTGGAAAAAGTAAGGGAAAGGGGAAGCAATATTTCTAGACTTCACATGCTTTAAAAGTAGCCAGTTCCTAATTTTACTTTTGTTTTTTTGAAAATGACTTTCTTGAGGAATATGAAGAACTCAGAAAAAAATGGGAAGACTGGCATGAACTACTATAAAACCATCTATGGATTCCAATGCTCTAATAAATATCTGGTCCCCCAATTCCCTGGCTCAGTTTTTTGGTTTGTTTGTTTTTTCAATAAACCATTCCTTAAGCTACTTTATCATCATCATCATCATCATCATCATCATCATCTTTCAACTGAAACTTCTAAATTCCAGCCCCATTTCTAAGCTATTCCAAAACTTGAGGGAAGAATGGATTATTCAAAGAGATCCATATCTTTGCTCAATCCTCTAATTTATCATCCAGTTCCTTATTTCACAGAACTTTACTTTCTGATGTCACCAAGGACTTCCTCACAGAGTCATGGGCTAGTCTGCCTCAATTCTGACAGTGCAGTATTATATCTCATGTATCAACAAGTTAGGGGAATCCAGATGGACACAGAGAAACATTGGGCCGAAACTAAGCCAAAATCTGAAAAGGATTTACACTTGAGTTCAAAGTTCAAGTCTTACACTTGAGTTCAAAAGATCAACTTTACAAGTACAAGATAGGATTGGCTTGACCAGATATATTTGCTTGAAAAATATGTGGAGGTTTTGGTGGACAGCAAGCTCAATGAACCAATTGTGGATTATTGTAGCCAAGAAAACTACTGGAGTCTCAGGCTTTGTTGACAGTCAAGGTGTCTAGGATTAGGAAGGCTGATTAAGAATCAAAGGATCATAGATGTAGAACTGGAATGGGCCTTGGTTTTAGAGGCAATTCCACTCAAATGTTCTTATGGGCTATTTGTAACTGACCTGTGGTAGAATCTTCTGAGCTCACGTTGGTCTGCACAGCCATAATCAGACACCCTGTACACTGACCCCATCAACATGATGTCATTTTGGTCCTCTTTGAGTATGGAAGGACAACAATCAACCATCCTTTTATAGAACAGGTTACTGAGGGCCAGGGAGGTTGAGACTAGCCAAGTCACGCAGGTAGTAACTGGCAGTAAGGGACACTTATTCCTAAAGCCCAAGGGAAAATATTCACAGTTCTATCTAGAAAGTGTCTTCCAAGAGCCTTCACTAGAAATTAGTACCTCTGCACCTAGAAGAAAAGGGGAAAAAGACTAGTAGGCAAATTCTTTAAAAGGCTGAGAATTCTAATAATGACACCAATCTAAGACTTTGGAGTCTCAGAGCTTAGCATAATATCCAACCCAGGCAAGATCAGAGTGGGGCTGATTCTTAGAGGCAGCTAGGTGGCCCAATGGAAAGAGTGCTAGAATGAGGAAGACCTGAGTTTAAATACTGCCTGATATTTACTAGCTCTGTGAACCTGGGTGAATATCTTAACTTCTCTGTACCTCAGCTGCCTCAGCTGCAAAAAGGGATTAGACTTAATGTCCTCTAGGTTGTGACATTTAAGTGAAATAATGTAGATAAACTCTTTGCAAACCTTTAAGTTCTCTAGTAATATCTGCAATTGCTGTGCTTGTTACTACTTTGCCAAAATATTCATCAATCCACACAGTTTGAGCTATATCTTCAACATTCAGGTAGAGACTACCATTTTGAACATTTCCATTCTTGTATAATATACCCTCACTTTCCACGGATCTGAAGTTAACTATGATCTGGATTCAAATCCCAACTCTTGCTCCTAAATTATTTATATGAATTTGGTAAAGACTCTGGGTCTCAGTTTTGTCATCTATAAAATAGGGGATTGGATGAGATAGCTTTCCTTCCAGTTCTAAACCTACAGAACTATGACTGCACATATACCTTATCCCAGAAGCAAAAAGAAAAAAAAAATGAAGGATTTCTGTTTAACCAGCATAGAAGTCAAACATTCAGACACTCTTGATGAATTGCACAAGAATGTAAAGCCTGAAAGTTAGAGAAGTGAGACAGGATTTCTTAGAACATTGCAGGTGACATGAGAATGTGTCAAGAAAGGAGACTGCTTCAAGGTTAATGCACATACTTGAATAGCAATGAAAAAAACGCCCTCAGAATATACAAGCAAACATTTCACACTGATGCCCTGGGAGCTTGACAGTATTCTTCCAACATATTGTAGTACTTCTGTTAGGAGACCTTCCCAATGCAAACCCAGATTAAGCAAGGAAAGCTTTCTTTCAGTGCCTTTTGCCTAGGGACGATTAAAAATTTTAGCAACTAGCTATGAATTCCAAAAGGCATTCCTAGAGTCACTGGAGTCAGTTATTAAAGTGAGAAGGAAACTTAAGGATTCTCCTACTCTAGCCCCTGCATTTTGCAAAGGGGGAAACTGAGACCCAGAGAAAGGAAGTAACTAACCCAGCGTCTTACAATGAGCCGTCACCACTACTATTCCTATCATTAACCCTGATGTAGAAAAGAGCTGGGTTTCAAAACCAGATCTCCTGACCACAAGGTTCATGGTTTCTTTGTTTTTCCCCCATGCCTAATTTCAGCTGGAGTGGCCTCTGTTCTGCCCTCCTCTCAGTCTTCAGCCCCCACCCCACACACAACGTGCACATCACCCCTCTCCGCCACCACAAAGTCTCCCCATTCCAAATACTCCACATCAGTGAGTGACTGTGCACTGTATTTCTTTATTTTATTCCTAGAAGATATGATTTTTGTATTTCCATGAGATCTGCGTTACACTTTTCATTTATTTGTCCAGTCAGCTCCTGAGAGGACAGTGTGGTACCCCCTCAGGAAAGAGTGGAAAGAGGCACTAGATTTGGAGTCAGGGGACAAGACTCGCTTCTGCTACTACTACCTATATGACCTTGGATAAGTCACAATGTCTCTTGGACTCAGTTTCTGCATTGATACAATGAAGGGATTAGCCTGGATGCACTTTAGGTCCTTTCCAACTATCTATGATCCTACCTATGAAAAGTGCTCTACAAATTTTGACACATAAATGCCAGTTATTATTACTACCTACACACCTGTTATATCTCCCTCCACCACCAGTAGAATGCAAGTTTCTTGGGGGCAAAGACTCTTTCGTCTTTTTCTTATATTCTCAGTGCCTAGTACCATGCCTTGTCCATTTTAGGAACTAATTGTTTGTTGAATTGAAGTTACCTGAATCTTATTCAAATGGATGTAACCAATGACCATAAGAAAATACATATGTACACATATATACACATATCTGAATTTGGAACACATTATGCATATGTTTCTCAGGACATATAGCTTGCAGATAATTTTTGGATAATCATACATACATAACTCTTAGAGTTGTATAACAATTGAAAGAATAGTGAGTACTCTGTCACTAGAAGTGTTCAAGCAAACACTGGTGATTGTTGATTGGCGGGAGGTGAAATTGTCTCACCTCCAAGGTCCTATTAAAACAAACAAACCAAAAAAAAATCTCAATGTCAATTATTAAAATTAATTTGGACACATCAAATGCCAGTGGAGACAGTCAGCTCAATAGGAGGTCTGGGGCAAGGGGAAACCAAACTCAGTGTAAAATTTTTTGCCATGGTCAAAGTCCATCCAGCTCACTTGGGAGTTGACCATAATGGCTTTTATGTTTACAGTCTTTTATGTAATCTGTTGGTCTCACCTGGTATACTCCTAGAAATACACACGATCATTTTTCCTATTTAGTCCTACTGCAGTAAAATTGATGGGGGTGGGGGTGAGAGAAGAAAGGGATTTTATCTGTGATACTCGTTATTCAGCTCTGCTAATAAATAAATAAATACAAAGTCCCATGTCATTAGCCACATTGTTGTCCTCGTGGAAAGTGCTTAAAAGGCAACATTTCTGTGATAAATAAAGTCTCTAATTGGTTTTTCTACATACTTCTATTTCCAGATATTTAAGAAATTTAAGAAACTTGTTCAGGTACTTTGAAATAGAATTGGTCTGTCCTATACAACTGAGCTTACTATCTCCGTTTCCAGTCCCTGTCTTTGAATGTCATCTTACCTCTTGGGAGTCTCTGACTGACTTCTTAATCTGAAATATTTCCCTTTCTCATGGGAACATGAAGAGAACTAATCAGTATAAATGACTCTTGAGAAGCTGAGATAAAAGATATTTTTGACAAGCAAGGTATTTATATCTATTAAGAATAGTCGCAAGGCAGCATACTAGACCAAGTCAGGAAAGTCTGAGATCAAACCCTACCTCTGATACTTACTACCTGCATCACCCCAAACAACTACTGGGAACCTGTCTGAGCTTCAGAGAGCTTGGTAAGACTCTATGTGATCTGCATTGGTGACAGAAGTTCTCCCACCAACAAAATCAGAGGTTGTCGGTGTTGCTGGAGGAACTGTTTGCTCCTCTCTGCCGCATTTTGTCTCAACATTTAAAGACAGGTCTCTAATGCACAGTAAGGTGTTTCCATTATTTCTGGCTGTTGCTGCTGTTGCTGCTGTTGCTCCTTTTCTCCAAGTCTTCATACCATTGTTCCCATAGACCCTATCCCTAAAGGGTTCACCTTCCCATCTTCTGCTGTTGAATTCTTTTCTAACTCAAATGCCACCTTCTTCAAGAAATCTCTTCCTAAAGTTAGGTCTTCCTTACTCAAACCTACTATAGTACTTTGTTCTAATTTTCTAATACACTTAGCATGTAATATTGTGTATTATACTTCTCCTAGAAAATAAGCTTTTTAAAGACAGTAATGATGACTTCTTTAAAAGTTTTATTCTCCCCCCACCACTTGCACAGTGCTCTGCAAAGAATGGGTACTTCATAAAGGTTTGCACTTGATCTAATCCATTCCTAGTCTTGGAAAAAATGTCATTTACTCAAAATTAAACCACATCACTGTTTAATCTCAGGTATATCATTTGGGTAAGAGGGTGGAGAGGGGTTACAGTCTGAAGGAAGTAAAATCCCTGGCTCCCACTCTGCACTACTTCATTCCAAATAAAGAATAAAATAGAGGAACAACTAGGCATCACAGTAGATAGAGAAAAGATAGGGCCCTGAAGTCAGGAGGACCTGAGTTCAAATCCAGCCTCAGACACTTACTAGCTATGTGACACTGGGTAAGTCACTTAATCCCAACTTCCTTCAAAAAAATAGAATAATAAAATAAAATCTTTAGGAACAAATACACACACTGGATACAACCTACAAAACAGAGAAATCAACTTACCAGCCCGCATATGCATACATTCCATAATAAAAAGCCAATGGTAATCTTATAATACTGGCATCATTTCCTGAAAAGGCATCTCTAAAGTGCTGGGTTTGACCTAGAAAATCAAATGAAAATAGATAATTGTATGGACTATTAAATAACAACCAAAAACAACTTTTTGGAGAGATAGTTTGGCATAATGGGTAAACAGAAGGCCAGTCTTGGAGCAGTCAGGAAGTTCTGCCCTCAAGTCTTGACCTTAGGTGTATGAGCCATGAACAAGTTGACTTAACCTCCCAAGGTTAACTGTCAAGGACTGCAAATTATAGTTAGACTATAGAATGATAGAATATAGAATAAGTTACAGTTTGAACATAGAGTTGGATTCTTAGAGTTAGAGGGAGTTTCCAAACAACACCTGTGTTCTCCAAACAAATAAAAATCACAGGCCCAGAACAACACTAACACTGAAAATATTACTCAATGAAGTGAGCAAAATCAGGAGAACATTGTACTCAGTAACAGCAACACTGTGTGATGACCAACTTTGATAGACTTAGTTCTTCTCAGCAAGGCAATGAGCTAAGACAATTCTAAAAGACTCATGATGGAAAATACTATCCACATCCAGAGAAAGAACTATGCAGACTGAATGCAGATCAAAGCATATTGTTTTCTCTCTTTTTTTTTAATTTTTGTTTTTCTTTCTCTTGGTTTTTCCCTTTTGTTCTGATTCTTCTTTCACAACATGACTGATGTAGAAATAGGTTGAATATGATTGTATGTGTATAGCCTATTCAGATTGCTGTCTTGGGGATGGGGGAGAGGTGGGAAGGAGGGAGAAAAACATGGAATTCAAAATCTTATAAAAGTAATGTTGAAAACTATCTTTATATGTAATTGGAAAAAATAAAATACTATCAAGTGGGGGAAAAAAAGAAAATATTGCTCAATTATGAGTCAAGCATAAACACTTCATGTTTCTTAAGAACATTTTTTTTAAAAAGTAGTATTTCTAAGAAGTAGTTGTCAAGGCACCTGGGTTTAAGCATTTCACCCTACTTGAGTATATTGAATGATACGACAGTGCAGTAAAAGGAGCTTTGAAGGTAAATCCTAAGACTTGGGTATGAGTTTTACCTCTACCGGTTTCACATTGTAAAGTACTTCATTTAATCTCTCTGGGCCTCATTTTCCTCATCTGTAAAATTAAGAAGTCTATAATGGATGAACTCTGGAATCCCTTCCATCTCTGTGTCTGTGCTCCTATGATACCTGTTGACACAATAAATTAACCTGGCAAAAACATACCCCAACCTCACCACCCATGCTAGGACAAGATAGCCAAACTGGAACTGACCACGAGGTTTCATAAACACACAAGACCCAGAAACACTTCTGAGTACAGCCAGAACCAGATTAAAATGTAACTGGGAAATATTTAACAAATAAATAAAATACAATGGAACATAATGTAAACATGTAGCTTTCTAAGTCAATGAGTCCTACAGGGATCCTTAGGTATGGTTTTTGTTTAGTGGCCTATTTCCATTTCAATTCAACACCACTGATCTAATACAACGACCTCATTTTGTAGTTGAAGGAACTGCAGAATTCAATGACTTGTCCAAGGTAATACAGGTAACAAAAGTGAGAGGCAGGATTTGAACCTAGGTCCTATGACACTTGGTGATCTCAGATGAATGGAGAAAAGCTAGTAGCAGATAGCCAATATTTTCCCCCCAATGGCAAAATTCTTGCACATATTATATTATTAAGTTTGAAAGTGAAAAAGTATCACTATGTTACTTTCTCTCCCCACCCCTGGAAATTATTTTTTAAACATATTATAGATTTATTTTTATATGTGTGCCACCTCCCTCTGTTCCCTTTCCCTTCTGTCTTCTCTCTCAGTGTAGAATTTAAGTTCCTTGAAGTGAGGGACTGTTGAATGGCGATAATAAGAGCATCTAGCTCCTAGCGTAGTTGTTAGGATCAGATGAGATCGTGCTCATAAAAGTGCTTAGCACAGTTCCTGGCATATAGTGAGCACTAAATAAATGTTAGCCATAATCGTTATCATCACTAACTTGTGTTTATTTTGAATCCCCAGTGTCTTCCATGTGGTAGAAATTTAATAAAGGTTTGTTGAATGAATTTTGTAATTGAACGAAGTTAACCAAGACACCCACCTCTGAGTGTGGTATATAAATCTATAAAATTCCTTGAGGGCATTTTAAGCACTTCTGTCCAGCTCTGGTCTACCTTTCCGGGCTTATTCCTTATTGTTCCTTTGCATATACTCAACATTCTGGCCAAACTTATTACTCACACAGAATTCTTCACCCATGTCTGCGCATCAGCACAGTTTGTCCCTCATTTTTGGACTCCTGCTCTTTCTCCACCCAATAGAATCTCTAGCTTCCTTCAAATCTTTGCTTAATGGGGGCAGCTAGGTGGTGCAGTGGATAGAGCACCGGCCCTGAAGTCAAGAAGACCTGAGTTCAAATCTGGACTCAAACCAAACACTTGACACTTCCTTAGCTGTGTGACCCTGGGCAAGTCACTTAACCCCAATTGCCTAAAAAAACAAAAAAAAAACAAACAAATCTCTGCTCAGTGGATAATTCCTCTATGACGCCTTTTCTGATCCCTCAAGCTACTAGTGGCTCTCTCTATATGACCTCTCAAAAAACAAAAACAAAACCAAAAAAACTTGGCCTTATATTCATTTAGGTATAAATATTTATCTTTACATATTTATTTTTACTTGTGTCTACATGCATGTTGTTTCCTAGGTACAATATAAATTCCTTGAAGGCAAGAACTGTTTGATTGCTGTCTTTGCACTGCCTCCAGACATGGCCTCCCCAGTGCCTAGTATAGTCTGTGAAACATAGTAGAGATTTAACAAATACTTGTTGAATTGAATTGTATTAATTAGGATCTTATGTGAGCAGGATCCTATAGGGCAGGCCCTTGCATTGAGTAAAACTAAACAGGAAAGGGCTCAGACCATGCTTCACCTGACCATCTAGGCATCTTGCCATGAAATAGCGTTTATCCAATTCAGACAACTTGTCCTACCACCACGTGTGTGTCCCACAATACATTCCCCACCCCCTTTTCACTTCTTGCAGACCTAGAAGTGGCAAACAAATTAGTGCTACCATTCCTACTGTAAAAGTTTCAATAGAAAATAGGAGGGGACAAAGTAGTTACTGGTTGGCTGGGAATTGCTAAACAAAGTGCTATACATGAATATAATGGGATATTTTTACATCAGAAAAATGACAGTTATGCCTAATTCAGAGAAACGTGGGGAAAATGTGAACCAATGAAGAGCAAATTTAGCAGAACCAGGAAGATGATATATATAATGCCAACAAAAGAAATGCAAAGAAAGAAGAGAAAACAAAATGGTCTGTTTTTAAAAGGAGGCCTTTTAAAATAAATAAATAAAATGAAATGACTATATATATATAAAAAGAGGGGGCCCAGATGAACTCATCTCAAAGGATCCTTGTAGGTCTAAAATTCTATAATGCCTTAGAAAAGTTTCATTCAAAACATTTTCTACTGGGACAATCTGGGATGGCTTCATTTTCTATGCAGGGTCCACGCTTCATCCTCTTGTTACAGAATACAGTTGTAAATACCATTTCACTCCCCCCACAAAGTAGTAACACCTCACATCAATTAGATGATGGTATAGAGCTTAAGTTTCACAAGCAGATGCTAATCAAGAGATTCTGCTAGTGCTAGCTCAAATTTGGTGGGAGAAGACAAAACAAATAAGTCATCAAAAAGCATTTACTTTCCAGTGCCTACCTTTAATTAGTTGCATAACTCCAAGGACTATAATTATTAGAATGGCTATAAGCTTGCAAAGGGTTAAAAACATCTGCATCCTGGAAGTCCAGCTGATACTCATGCTATTCAGCACCATGATTGTGGCTGCAAGAAAAGAGGATGAAAAGTTACTGAAGGTAATTGGGGTTTTTTTATTTGTTTTTTTTAATGTTTTTATTAATTTATTTTTAGTTTTCAACAATCACTTCCATATGCTTTCGAGTTTTAAATTTTTCTCCCCCTGCCTTCCCTCCTCCCTCCCGAAGACAGCATGCAATCTTATATAGGCTCTACATATACATTCCTATTAAACATATTTTCACTTTAGTCATGTTGTAAGGAAGAATTAGAACCAGTAGGAGGAACCACAAGAAAGAAGAAACAAAACAAAACAGAAGGAAAAAAAGAGCAAATAGTATGCTTTGATCTGCATTCAAACTCCATAGTTCTTTCTCTGGATATGGATAGCATTTTCCATCATGAAACTTTTGGAAGATGTCTTAGATCCTTGCATTGCTGAGAAGTGCTAAATCTATCAATATTAGTCATCACACAACTCGGCTGTTATTGTGTACAACAATCACCTGGTTCTGCTCACTTCGCTTAGCATCAGTCCATACAAGTCTTTCCAGATTTTTCTGAAGTCTGCCTGTTCATAGTATGGAATACAATAGTATTCCATTACATTCATATACCACAACTTGTTCAGCCATTCCCGAATTGATGGGCATTCCCTCAATTTTCAATTCTTTGCCACCACAGAAAGAGCAACTATAAATATTTTTGTACATGTGGGTCCTTTTCCCATTTTTATGATCTCTTTGGGATACAGCCCTAGATGTGCTATTGCTGGGTCAAAGGCTATGCACATTTTTATAGCCCTTTGGGCATAGTTCCAAATTGCTCTCCAAAATGGTCGGATCATTTCACAACTCAAACAACAATGCATTAGTGTTCCGATTTTCCCACATCTTCTCCAGCACTTATCATTTTCCTATTTTGTCATGTTGGCCAATCTGATAAGTGTGATGTGGTACTTCAGAGTTGTCTTGATTTGCATTTCTCCAATCAATATTGATTTAGAGCATTTTTTTTATGACTATAGATGGCTTTAATTTCCTGAAGGTAATTTGTTATGAGAATGGAAACAGCTTCTGTGTGTGTGTGTGTGTGTGTGTGTGTAAAGAATGTTTTCAAAACATTCATTCAGTTACATGAAAGACCCACTTTCTTGATGCACTAAGCCCTCATCAACAAATAGAGAATTTTATAATTGAGCATTTCAAAAGTCTTTGAAATTAAACTCTTAGCTCCTGCCTTGAACATCAAAATGTCTTTGACTTAGAAGACTCCAAGTTCCATTAGGCTTCAGCATTTACTACCTATGTGACTTGGGGCAAATCTCTTAATCTTCCTTGCCTCAATTTCCTTCCTGATAAAATGGAAATAAACATATTTATATAACATTTATATTTACATAACTCACAGGATGGTGTGAAGCAATATGTAAATGATTATTATCGTTATTAGTTTTTCCTACTGCCCTGGCTAAACTGAAAATGAGTGTTTGGGAAAGAGAAGGGAGACTATGTACAGTAGAATAATAGGTTTAGAGGGGAAATGAGAACTGACCTTGGGCAATCTGAATTCAATTCAAGCATTCTGGACATATACTGGCTATGATCTTCCTAAAGTTCCTCTGAATGTGTGGTTGGCATTCAAAGCCTTTCACAAACATCCCCTCCTCCTACCTTTTCAATCTTTTTACATTATACTCTCTCCCATATCCTCTGAGTTTCAGTGCTCAAACAAGACATTCCACCTGCCACTCCAGACATTTCCACTGGCTGTCCTCATGCCTGCAATTCATTCCCTCTTCATCTCCTGGCTTTCCTGGTTTCCAGGTTTCAACTAAAATCTTACCTTCTGCAAAAAGCCTTTCTTGATCCCTCTTGATACCAGTCCCTATCCTCTGTTGATTATTTCTAATTTACCCCCTATATGCCCTCATAATGTATGTACCACATATATATTGTTTGTAGACTATTGTTTTCATGCTGTCTCCACCATTAGACTGTAAGCTTGATTGCCAAGGACTGTTTTCCTGGTACTTGTCACAGTGCCTGACACATAGTTGGCCAGGCCTTGGCCTCCTGGTCACTTAATAAATTCTTACTGACTGACTGACTATATGATCATAGGTCCCAAGTAACTTCCTAAAACCAGTTGCAGATATGAAAACATGGAAGAGGTTTTTATACCAGGAGCTCCCCCACACTGAGGACATGAACCTTAGATTTAAAGCTGAAAGGGCTTTGCCAACTGGTCCATCTGTCTCCTTTTACAGAGAGAGGTTAATTAACTTGCCAATGCCACAAAAGTAGTCATTGGCAGAGCTGAAACCAGTAGCCTGGGCCAAGAGGGGGGCTGGGAGGGAGAAAGAGGGAGAGAAATTTGTGCTGGGAAAGAACCTTAAAGGTAACTTATCCAATTCCCTCATTTTATAGATGAAGAAAGGCGTCCCAGTAATCCAAGTATTTGTCAATCTCCATGTAGCACCAAATGACCCATCTCCTTAGACCATATTTTTGCTTTGCTCTCTAGGCCCTGGAACACCAAAGCCTGTCTTTCCTCTTCCCTCCCAGGGCTAAGCTACTGTATATTGATGATGGGAATGATCTGGCAAACATGTGTTTGCAGGAGTCATCCCACTAACCCTGTGTGGACTTAAACCTTATTGGGGCCACCTTGGTAAAGGAAATGAACATCCACAGGATTCTAATTGGTCCCCCCATGAGCTTTGACCTACCACCCTGTCTAAGAAAGAAGGTAAACTGCCTCAAAGATGACTGCCTACTATAAACAGTAAAGAAAAAAATAATTTCCACTCTCACTCTATCTTCTTTTTTGGAGCTCAGGCTATTTTTCCTTGCATGTCCCATGAGCTATAGTGTCTCTTCCTTAGATTTCCCATGAGCTGTAGTGTTATTATGGCTTCTGCTCACAAACAGCAACAAGTCCATAGACCAGCCTATGTAGCTCTAAGACTGAATCTCAAAGCCCTAAAAACCTCTTTTACCTGATGTTCCTTCTCCTAAGCATAAATAAACCAAACCAAAATCATCGATTGAACTTTTGGAACCTATGGACCACCTCAGGAGTCTGGGAACTATAAGATTCATTCGATGGCCCTGACCAACAGAAGTTTTCTATAACCATTTGAATACTTCTCAGAGTGAAACATTTCAAAGAGTTGTCAGATGTGATAAATGTGATTTTTTAAATGGTTATTCTTTTATAATGGAGAAAATAGAGTGTGACATTTTGAACTGGATGTCCCAGAGATATCTAAAACTTAAGATCAAAATCAAAATTGTTCATCTTTTCCCTTGAACTTTCTCTTCTTCCCAATGTCGGTGTTTCTAAAGTACTACCATTCTGCCAATGTCCTGCCAGTTTGTAACACTGGCATTATTCTCAACCCCTTATTCTTCCTCACCCCACATATCTAATACGTTGCCAAATCTTCCCATTTCTCCCTCCATCATCTCTCCCATTTGACCCCTTCTTGCCATTAACACAGCTACCATCTGAGTCCAGGATCTCATCACCTCTTGCCTAATTATTGCAAGACTCCTAATTGGTCAACATGCCTCAAGTCTCTCATCACTCTAGTATATCCTACATACTGCTGACAAAGTAATTTTCCTAAAGGATTGATCTAATCATGTGATTCTTCCACTTGACCAACTCCAGTTACACCCTATTACCTATAGGATAAAACAAATTCCTCTTCAGCTTTTAAAGCCCCACACAATCTAGTTCCAGCCTTTTTTTTAAGCCTCAGTGGGCATCATGCCTCCTCCTGCACTCTGTGATCCAGCCAAACTGACCTTCTCTGGGTTGCTCACATGACCCTCCCTCTCTGCCTTCAAAAAAGCAACTTAGGCATCATCTTCAGCATGAAGCTTTTCCTGATCTCCTCTTCTCAAATGCTAGCTCCCAATTCCCTCCCAATTCAAACCAGCTTGTACTTAACTACTTGTACTTATCTGCCAGTTTGCTTTTCCATGCTTAGGTGGATGCTGAGCCATAATCCATCATCATTCTTCTGGGAAGGGAGAACCTCATTCTAGTGAGAATTAAGCCTGGTTCCCAGAGTAAAACTGGCAGACCTTGGCCAAGGTTGGTCAGGTTCCTCCATTGGTAGTGGTGCCCTACACTAAACAGCAGAATGCCTGTTTAGGAACATAGGTACTATGTGGCCTTCTCATCTGTAGTTACTAAAATGTATCAAGCCATCCCAAGTTCTCTTCCTGAAAGTGGATTCTCTTCCCCCAGCCCAACTGGAACTGGAATCACAGTGGGGAATTATATATAGTACCACTTATTCGATGTATGCACTTTGGAATAAGTGCTGGGCAGTCTTCATTTTTCTTAATGATTTTTTTTCTCCCCTAACTAAACAACCACCCAAAATGTTTGTTGGCCCTTTGCTGAAGGTGGAATACTTTTTTTGTAAGGAATAGGGTGCACAGAGTGCACAGGGTGCAAGAAGACTGCAGTTTGAATCCTACCTCAGACACTTGATCCAGGACCAAATCACCTACTTCTCAACCCCAATTTTCTCATCTGTAAAGGGGACATAACATTAGCCCCTTCCTCACAATAATCTTGTGAGGAACAAAAGAGATAAGATATATAAAGTACTTAGCAAACCTTAAAGCACTATACAAATTACTACTATTTCAGATAAACTTATGAACTTAAAATGAGGTTCAGATCTTGACTTGGGGTATGTGATAATCAAATGAGATGACGTACATAAAGCACTCTGTTTGCATTAAAGTGATGCAAATATGTCCATTTTCGTTTGGTTCTTATATTTGGGTTAACTACAATAAAGGCTTATCCCTCAGAGCTTCCACAGGTACAAGAAGTTTATTCGGAGGCTGCTGTTTACTTGGGGAGACTTTATGACATTACCATTTATTTTTATGAGAGGACTATTGGGTAGAAGATGAACTCTGGGAAGAAGAAAAGCAATATGGCAGCCTTGTTTGTTTTTTTTTTCAGAAAATCTAAGTCATGACTTTCAGAAGTGA